TTCAGAGCCGCGGCGCTTAAGCTCGTCAATCATGCCGAAAAAGTATGGTAGAAAATAATGGTTGCTGCGTGAGAGGGAACTTTTGAAACATTGCATATTCAGTACGGAAGAATTTACGTTTATCTGTCACACCTATAAGAAAGAGAGAGCTTGATGCGTACAATTAAAATATGCATAAAAGTTTATTGACTACATGTATATTCGTTTAATTAATATGATCTTTGCTTCGCGTTTTATATCAGAAATCGCGATACACGCGGTGAGATTGTGAATTTGGCTTTTCGGTTACCGCCGGATAATTCAGCCGCGATAAGACGCGGCGATAGCAGTTGTAATTTATCCGTCAGCATTTTCGCAATTTTCCCGCCGCGTTAATCAGAGCACATCGTCATCGCGCGTGTATATCACCGCGTTGAAATTTATTAGCGTGACATTAATCGCGTATTTCTTCCCACAGAGTGCGAGATAACGAACAAAAGTGGTCTTCAATCGTACCTTGAGACGCACCATTGGCTCGCGACCGCGTGTTTGCAAATTTTTATAATATTTCACGAAGCGCTCTAACGCCCGACGCCGTAAAAAAATTTTACGTTTGCGAAACTAATAAAACTGGTATAAAGTTCCGGCTCGTCGCGGTAGGAATTTCTTGCATGGCCGGCAGAAAAATCCGCGTTGTCCTTTTTCTTCTGCGGTTGTCTCATTCGTACTTTATCTCAAACACACGTACCTATAAGTTTCCCCGAATGATACTCCGGCGGAAGCATCGTTGTATTAAGTATACTTCGCGTGCGGCGAGCAAGGATTTTTTCTAATCCACTTCACAAACTCCCTTTATTTATCGTTCTTCCTCCGTGATTCCGCTTATTCGTTGCCAAAAAATCCCGTACACGCGCACTTCACGCTTCTTTTTCTAAACTAAACTAATTGAATAGTTATTCGCGCAAATATCAGACGCGGTTCGTTAATTGCTAAAAATCAGTCGGGGGGACTTTTTTTTGTTAAAAAGCAGTTGTGAAAATTTAAAAAAATTTTTTTACTCACGCGAACGTTGGCGGCATCGCGTCAGATCGCCACTAGAATTCTGCGGCGAGCTAATACGAGGAGCTCGGAGGCAAATAAAAAGACCGCAAAGCTTGCGGAGCGTGCGATCGGAAAGAGCGCAACGAGGAGGGCGGCTTGCGGCGATCGGAGACGCAATGAAGAGGATCTCTGCTTCTCCTACCATGAAGACCTAGTTTACCTTGGCGTCGGTTCTCTCTCCTTTGTACAGAAAATGTCATAGAGGACGCGGTTCGATCAATTCTACCGCGTTCAGAGAGTTACGTTTCGCTCGCTATCCAGTTCAAACAGCAAACATCCCGTGCTTCTGTGCCGGTCGTAGAGATTAGTTCAGCCGACCCTCTCTCTAATAATGGTTAATTGGTTAATACGAGTCAAGTACTTTTTATTGAATTTATGTGCAGGGCGTTTCGCGACCTGCGACTTTAACCATCGCCCGTAGCGGAGGATTCTCGGGAGCTCCGAGTAGGGTGGTTTTTATCGTGCACGATTGGTAGAAATATTGAAAAAACACAAGACGACGAGGTACAAAACTTCGTTTTATTACGAGCGCCGATGTGAAGGAACGCAATGTTTCAAATGAGGTGTTCCCCCTCGGTTTTATACTAGATCTTTTCACTTCCACGTTACATATGTGCGGTATCTATATCTTCGGCCGTTCGTTTAAGCTAAGATCACAATTTATGGAACAGCCTGCGATTATTTTTTTTTTCGCCAGTTCTGCGCTAATAAAAATTGCTTCACGAAAGTTCGTTACAGTTAGTTATATTACGCTCGTGATATTGAATTTGTTCGAATTGATAGAAAGTGTCAATTGCCGGCCTAACGGAAGTAACTGCACGGATACTCGAGAGGTGGCGAGGCGCACACACAGCGAAATCGCGCATACAAATTTGGAAAGTGCGCTTTTATGGGCCTGTTGAATTTATAAATATTAAATTGCCACGAGCACGTAAGATGGAGCGGTAAGTAAGCGAGTCGATTGAATTTGCCGTTTGCGAAACCATTCTACAATAGGCCAACAGACACTGCACGGGCCAATTTGCGTAACAAAATATCTCCCGCTTGCGTGACACGCTGCCGCATTATCACAGCGAACATAACTATGTACATTTAATCAAGGGCACTTGCGTAAAGTGCGTTCCACGTATATTCATATACGAGTCATTTGATACGCGGCGGGGGAAATAACCCCGCTCGACGATGATAATTAACACACAAAGACAATTTGCTCGCGTTATTAAGGGATTTAGGCGGGTCTCGTTACCGCGATAAATATTCCATACTTTCGCACGAGGAGTCGTGCTCGGCTGCGCGCCGATTACACGCGACTTTCGACAAAGTAGCTTTGCACGAGACGGAAAATACGCGCCAACAACATCCTGAATAATTGAAACTCTCTCTCTCTTTCTCTTTCTCTTTTCCCCTCTTATTTTTTTTTTCTCTATCTTCGTTCGATTTTTGCCTTATGTGCCTTTCGTGTATGCGCGATCGCTCTTGCGTGTTATGAAAGTTACTATCTTTTTTTAAGCACACTTCCGTACTGTAATGATTGTTATGTATCGTAACATAACACGTAACACAGTTTGCAATCTCCCGTCGGGAAATGAGTGATCGTGTTGGGATCGTTGTGCAATTGAGTTTGAAATTGCATATGCTTTTTTATTGCTCGCGTCAATACGAATTGGTGCAATATACATGTAATTGGATCTCCAACTATGTTTAAGATTAAAAATGTGACGTGCACCGTGGGAACATGGGGAGCTTCCCATTTATATCAGATGCTGCACGATCATACTGTGCGGTATTTTGTACCTTTTGTCAATTTTCCCCCTTTTCTCTTTTCTGTATTAGCGTATTTCGTTCTGTATTAACGTATCCCTCTCGTGCATTTTAATTATGGGTAAAAACGCTTTTGATAAGAAATTTCAATTCCCTCTCTGCTACGTTATTAGCGTCATTCGTACAGGATATATTAAAAATTCCTCTCTTTCGATGTCGACTTTCATTTTTGATGATTTTCCTGGTCGAAGGGACGACCAACGGTGATGGCCATACTGTTGGGCGCAATAACGCGCACCATACAATATCCCGGCGTGAAGAGAGTAATTGCGCCGGGATCGGTATGCAGATAAGTTCCAAACTGGATTCTGTTTTTCATCGATGAAGTCAATATTACGAAATAGTACGGGCGTCTGGGTAAACCAACGCGCTTGGCAGAGTAGGGATAACGAACTTCTGCAAGATGTTACTGAATTTACCAGTTTCGTGGATCTGGGCTGAGCCAGGGAGAGCTGCTATACGGTGATTAAATTTCCTGGTTGCACTCTACGATGGATTATTTTATAGGAAATTTAAACTGAATCTCAAAGTTGCGCCCGTCTTCCAGAATCGTTGTATTCAATATACTTTGTGGATATCGTTTTTCCTTATTGCCTTCCTCGGCTTGTTATCGTTATTCGGAAATTCTCCCGCAGGCCGATAAAGCGGCAGCGCTGCGAATTATCCGTGAAATTACATTCACGTCAATACGAGGGTCTGTGAATTTGCGGCGCGTACATTTAGTGCTTTCAAATGACCTTACAGCGAGACTTATTAATATTTCGATGTAACTATCCTTTATGCATGCTTGTCTCGTATTTCAATGAATTATCGACTATCATTAAAATTATTAAATCATTCAAATTGAATTAATTGATAATTTTAATGCATCGCAATATACACAATTATAATAATGTGGAAAAGACAGTTGCAGCAAGGAGAGGTTTTAGAATTTTAGCATTAATATTAATGAAATCAAAATAAATACGATAAATGCTTATCGTATTACTCGATATTTTGCTTGCACTTTGATGTATAGCATATTGTAGGGATGTTGACATAAATCTGATTACAATTGAAATGTTACAAGCTCGTTTATATTTTTTCAAAAGAAAAATAAATTTTTTATGAAACTTGAAGTGAAATTTCGCGATCAAGGCTTATTTTCAATGAGGTAGGAAGAAGATTTGCAATTGAGTCATTATACTTATGGAGGTTGATATATTTATCTTCCGATAAAGGAAATGATCATTTTCATTATTATTGTCAACGTTTTGCTCCTTTATTTGTTTACTCCCATTTGTTATTTTGAGGATTATTAACAAATGAACAGTTTGCAACTTATAGTTATTTTTTTACAAATTCTTCGATAGAATGGTGTAAAATTAAAAACATATGTCAGGCACGATAGTAATATTTCTGACATTGTTCACTATTGAAATAAAATATTACTGTTAATATAATTTGTTTTATAACTTTTTTCTGATTTTCCTTTGATTATGTAAATATCAGGGAGAAAATTACATACAGGTTATTCTTTGTGTTAATTATTTTTTACATTACCAGCAATTAAAAGAACATGAGAATGAATGATATTACATTTCTGCAGTCAAAAAAATATGCGATATGTCTGAGATGTTGCGTTAGCATAAATATCTGTGCAGGACAATTAGCAATATAATTTACTTACCTTTCCATTATTTTTATGCTTATTTTCAGGCGCGGATTTTCTTGATGATAAAAAGTAACGAAACAACTCATATATTGTTTAATTCATAATCGAAATTACGTAAAAGCACGAGTTCACAAATTTATTCTATTATGAAACACATTCAAGATTACCCTTCCATTATGTTTAACTTATTTAAAGTGAAAAACTGTACGGTTTTGTTCATATATTATCAATTTTATAAATTATAATGTTCATTTTTGTACTGTTACTATTTTCCTTCAAAATATTTTTATACGAATATCCATTATATATGAATGTCCGTTTGCTTTTCACTTTCTGCGAGATATTGTATGTGCACAGGAATACCTATTTCATTCGTAAAGAATACAAAAAATAAAAATTCGACGAAGGCAACGAGAAGAAATCGATAAACATGCATCTTTGTACATCGGTTTATTATTATAGCGGTACTTTGACACTGGTTATTTTAAGAAAGATAATATTTAGCCTCTTCGCTATTTGTCTATCTGCTTTCTCGCTAGCGCGCGTTCTTTCTCTTTCTCTCTCTCTCTCTCTCTCTCTCTCTCTCTCTCTTTCTTTCTTTCTTTCTTTCTTTCTCTCCCTCTCTCGCATACATTCTCTCTTTCTTTTTTGTATTTGTTAAGAAGTCTTGATATCTCACCAAGCTTAGTGGAATTAAGTACGGAAGCAATGTTTCTGTACATCCCATTTTACTGTAATCCGAGAACGGTTTCTCGAATATACTCTCATACATACACTCATACATACACACACACACACTCTCTCTCTCTCTTTCTTTCTTTCTTTTACACCCGACTTTCTCGATCTCTCGCACACACCGTTCGATAAAAATCCTTCCGTCTAACAGTCGCTCTCATTTCGCGTCCGGTTTTGCCTTTCAAGCATACTATTTGCCACCGCAAATTTTTCGCCCCTACATTCCGCGTTATTTTGGCGCTGGCCTACCTGCTCCTATCTTTCTCGCTACCATTATGCTCTCTTCCTACTTTTATTACACTCGCACTTCATTTCAGTCACAATATAGTCTTCTCAGGAATTGAGCGTACCGCGAAGAGCCGAACTCTTGAGACGCGGCGTGTAACCATTATTATTGTCACTGTGTCCAATTTATCGGTCTGACCCCAGCCAATCAGCTAAATCGGTAAGCCCGCTCGCCCGTTCGATCATGACACGTCTTGCGATGACATTTAATCGTTCTTGTTCGCACGTCTCTTCCTACGAGTTTAGCATGTAGGAGATTGAAGTTTTCCGCAGCATCGACGCTCCCCGTAGCGTAACGTTCGGCACACCGAAAGCCGTGTCAAATTTCCGCTCATAATTTTTTTCCGAGTCTCCAACTCGTAGTACGTTTTGTATTTCCCTGCGAACGTTGCGCGTTACAGTTTCCGATGTGTTTATACACGTGAAAACTTATGCGAAATGGCGCGGTCATCCTGGTTTTTGCTTCAAACATCTTAATTACTGCTCTCGATATCTTCGTAGTCGTTGATAGAGTTGTCGTCGATTGATTTTCACCGAATGCACGTATACGTATTGTCGATCGATGATACTTGAGTGATTTTATTTTTACTGCCATACACACCGTTTTCGAGAAACTCGATAAGCCGAACGCGCGTTATTGCGGAGAACGAAATTTTACAAGTAACATTCTTTTTTACATCCGTCAGACATTCGCGACGAACGGCCGTCTTCTTAATTATGTATCGCGGATTTTCGACGATCTCAAATATTGTCGCCACTCGTCAACTGCCTTTTCGTCGGCGGATCTTGCGGTTGCAAGTCACGCTTGAATAATTTGTTATTTTTCCGAGTATTGCTCCGTGACCCGTAACGTATCTGCGGTTTCCGAAGTGATACGGATTAGCTCGGAGAGTATCTCGTTCCCAACTTCGATGTTCAGTCGCTCGTACCTGGTTGCCGCAGAGTCAGGGTCCTTCCAACTTTCCGATTAACACTTTAGTCGTCGCGCTCGGCGGATCCACTTCGATATCCCGTCATCACAATAACAAGATGCACACGCCCGTCGATCACACCGATGCTAAAAATGATTACTTGAGGATTTTCCTCAAACACACATCAATCAGCCGTGACCTCGTCGATTGCCGAGGCATTATCGACGCTTCCCCGTCGCGGTTGCTGGCGTCCAGTCGCCTGTCCCTCTCGAACAGACGAACGTATTCCGACTCTGGTCACCAAAGTTCCGTGGTGGGCGTTAGAGTGTGCACTTCAATGTTCTCATGGCGATGATACCTGTCAGTTCGGTGCACCGTTGCCCTACGCGAAAGAACGACGGAAAGCGCGGCGACGGCGCCCAGGGCAGCGCCGGCTAATACCAACATCCCGGGGTGAGCACCGGCGGATAGAGCCTCGGACACTCGAGCACCGGAATCGCTCGCCCTGCCATTCAGTTCCTCCGCTATCGTGTTAGAGCCACGATCGTCCAGCACTGCGTTCTCCTTGCTCGTCGTATTGCTCATTCTTCCCGTGAGGTATTTCTCGATCACTTTCGTACCCTCGCTCGCACGTTTAAGTCCAAGCTGCGAGGAGGACTCCGGGGAGATGATCTCGCCGGGTGAGGCGGCAAGTTTGCTCATCTTTCCGTTTCTTTGCGCCCCGCGATCGGCCCGGTTATCGAAAGTTTGCGAATACGTCTCGTCCTTCGTTCCCGTAACGGATAGCTTCGGCTCGTTCCTCCTGCGTGAAGCCGGGACGACGGACTGCTTGATTAAATCCTGATCCATCAGGATGCGATTTGTTTTCCGACCCGGTTCCCGGCTCGTCCGCGTCGTGATCGATGACGTCACGTTGCGGAAGGACGTCGGCGCCTCGTAAACTCGCGGCACCGCGTTTTCCGAAAGCCGCCCCGACGGTGCCGTGACGGTCTTCGCGTAGGGGACGTTTGAGTCGGCTACACCCTCAGTTTTCGGCGCGGCTTCCGCGTTTACGAGCGACGACAGCGTGGGAAGATCCGTGACGTTGTGACTGGAATTCGCGCCGTCGATATTGGAAGACACCGTGAGGTTCCCTCGATCAGCATGCGACGTATGTTCCGACGTGTAGACGACAGATAGGGTAACCGCCGCGACAGTTTCCGCGCTGCTCGCGGAATTCGGCGGCGGCGGCAGCTCGTACAAAAATAACCCCGCCAATTTCCACGGGCTGGCACATCGAGCCGGTTGAAATCGTTGCTTCGGCTCGCGGCGTTGCCTCACCCACTCGCCCAGCCAATAAAGATCCTCCGTGCAATTCCAATTGTTCGCCCCGAGTCCGAGGAAGCGCAGCTGCGGCAGCATGTACGCGAGGTCGGATCTGATAGTGCTGATGTTGGTCTCCGACAGATTCAGCTCTATCAGGCTTTTGCAGGCGGACAGTGCGGCGTCGTCCGCCAGTAATTGTCCCGCCAGAACCGGACTTCGCGACACGTCCAACATTATCAGCCGCTCCGGCGTCGGTACCGGGAACGCCATATCACTTTGCTCTTCTTGGTGTCGTTGAAGCGACGCCAAACCCGACATCCGGAGCTTCGCCAGATTACCGGGTCCACTTAGGGTATTAGTTGGTAACGCTTTGATAGGATTATCGGATAGATCGAGCTCCACGAGCAGGGGCAGTTGACCGAGCGCGCCCACCTCGATGACGCTGATGTCGTTATCGTTCAGCATCAGCGATCGCAGGTTATACAGTCCGTTGAGATCGTCGAGCTTCAACGCGGTTATCGCGTTACGCTGAAGCTTCAGTACCGTCAGGCTGCCCGGTAGACTTCCGGGCACTTTAGCAAGAACGTTGCCGGATAGATCGAGCTCGTCCAAGACCTCCAGGCGTCCCAGAGCGTCGTTCTCGATATCCACCAGACGGTTATCGGCGATGTCGAATATACGTAGTAAGGGATAGCTATCCAAGTCGCCGCTACGAACCGTAGTCAGTCTGTTCCCGGCGAGTCTCAGAGCCCTGACCGATCTCGTGAGAGCGGCCGGGACCCTCGCTAATCCGGTGCGGGACGCGTCCACGGTCTCTAGTCGTCTACCGGTGCCCAATAGCAGAGACACGTCCCTCTCCCTCAGCGGGTTCTCCGCGAGTCTCAGAACGGACAGTCCCGATAACGGCTGCAGCGTGCCCGAGGCCGCCCGGGCCAATCCGTTTCGCGAGACGTCGAGTTCTCTCAATCTGTCGAGACTTTCGAACCACCTGGCGCCGAGAACTTGCAGCTGGTTACCGCTGAGGTCGAGTTTCTGCAGGGAATATAGCGGCGTGAGCGCGCTATCCGGCAAGTCCGCCAACCTGTTGTCCGACAGATCGAGGAATTCTAGCCGGTCCAGGCCGCGAAACGCGTCCTCGTCCACCGTACTGATCGCGTTTTTACGTAAACTCAGTCTCACAAGTCCGACCAGCGTCCTAAAGGTCCCGACACTGATGTCCGACAACGAGTTGTCCGACAGATCGAGGCATGTCAGTTCGCTCAGATTCATCGCTCGGATCACCAGCACGTCCCTCAGCCGCGGCAAATTGTTGCACGACAGATTCAGTGCCCTCAAGCGCTCGAGACCGTGCCACGACGCGTTCAAAGACACCAACGAACAATTCGTCGCCGCGAACTCGATTAGGTACGGCAGAGTCTCCGTCGCGCGCCTCGCCTCCTCCGACGTCGTCTCGTTCGTCTCTACATCCGGCAGGGTAGTACCGGTCATCTCGAAATCGTTCGTCAGATCGGTAGCCTCCAGGTCGTCGAAAAAAGCGGCCACTTCGGTGCTCTCGGCGCTGTCCAACGATAAACTCCTCACTCCCACTGGTATCTCCGATAAGCCGGGTACGCGTCTGCGACACGCCACGTCCGATAATACCGGTGCGTCCTTCTCGATGTTACTCTGATGACATTCGCAAAGGTCCGGACAGGCGGAACCGCTCGCCATCAAGGCGAGCAGCACCAACGGAAGCCACATCGCTTCCAAGTCGACGTCTTCACATCTCGGCCGTCCGGAGAAATCTCGCGACGCCGCTCGTCGTCCGCCGGACTGAGAGACGAGGCGACGACGGTATCGGGGATCGCGAAGGCGCCTGCAACCACGGGTTCATCTACGGCGGAATTGACGCGCGATCGACGTTGGTGGCTATCGACGATGATGGATGCCGCCAAAAGCGTATACGCGTATATACGGATGCCAATACCGGTGGGTACTATCAGTCTCGCCGAACGTGATGTCCATACGAAGGACTGACAAACACTGCGGCGTCCGACTCGTAGCTGCCCGCCCGCCACCCTCCGTCGCTCCTCTCTCCTACCCGCTTCTCGTCTTCCTTCCCTTCCGTCCGCTCTCCGTTCCCTCTCTCGTTCGCCCTCACCGTCGATCCCCTCTATCTCCTGACTCGGCTGTGTGCCGCCACCTACAACCATTCCACCCTTCCGCCGTATCTTCCCCCTATATACCCGTCTATACAGATATACAGCGCCACCACCACCACCACCTCCATCGCCACCACTACCGGCAGCCGTCGCTTTTGCTCTCGAACTCGATAAGGGGTGCGAGCGCGCTTGCGTCCTCTGACAGCGTACTGACGCGTAGAGCCGGTATCCTGCGATTCACCAACTACCCTTGCTACCGGTCGACCCACTAGATGCTTCCTAGCGGATTCCTCCCGGCTTTCTCTACGCTGTTGTTCCGCTCGGGTTCATTTTGACTCGTTCCCTTTCTTAAATTGCGATAACTCTCCAGCCGCTGCCCCCCCCCCCCCCNCATTTTTCAATAAAACCGGACGTGTGTGAGGGTCTTTTTATCAGGTGGCTCGTAGCTCTTAGTTTTCTTTACGACACGTCGCGGTAATAAAACGTGATCGCACTCTCGGTACGGTAGCTAATACTTTCTACACTGACCCATTCAGTTGGCTCAAACAAAATTCTTCTTTGGACATGCGCAAACAAATGTTTTGATTGTGAGAACCAACCTTTAATTCTGAACGAAAATTTTCTTTGAGTTAACTAAGTGAGTTTCTCAGTGTAGGCTGCGTTCGGAAATACCACATTGAGGGTAGAATAGCATTTAATTAATCAATCACGCTAAAGAAATCTCAGTTCTTTTTATCCCGACTGGTCAATTAAATGCTATTCTATCCTCGGTGTGGTGTTTCTGAACGCAGCCCTGATGTTGTCCGAGTATGCGACAATCGCAAAATGGTAGCAAACGATAGCGTGTAACGAGCGTGTATCGCATCGTTTTGCCCGTTTGGATAATTAACGCAATCGCATCAACCAAAACGCGCGTGATTTACCCCTTATCCTCGGAACGGCCGTGGAGATCGTGCTCTCGCAAATATTATAGATACTCGTTAGAACAATAAGCACGCACGAAGTTACTAATCCAACTAAAACTTCGCCCGTAGTTCCACGAGTTTCAGCCGCCGGTGGGCTTTCTTAGATTCGATTCGCGTGTCGAGGTTACGGAGGTGCAAAGATGCAGTTCTCACGGAATAAGGTGAGAGGTCAGATAATCTCTTCGCACGCGCGCAGCCCCTCCTCGTACATGCGCCCCGGCGCGCAATATCATTATTATAGCATACAATATATACGACGTTTATTCGTCGTTTCGCTCCCGAGTATCCGTTGGAGTATTACGTCGAAATTTCGCGGGATAAGAACCCAAGTTTTTCCGCCGGCGTCATCCTCGAGATTCGCCGCCGTTACGTCGTAACAGTTTGCGCAGCCCGATCGTCCGCTTCCCCTCTCCCCTCGGGGACGGTTACCTTAATTTCTGCGTCTTTTTAATATGCGAATATTCCGCCGCCGGCATTTTCTTCGGACCACCGATGTGTACGCAGCCAAAACAACCTAATTGTAGCCGACGTAACCTCGTAAAGGTTCCACGACATTGTGCATTTATACACGCACCCGGTGTGCAACATGCGCGCATGTATACACATATCCGTTCGTCGAGAACACGGGATGCTTTCGAGTTCCATAAATTCGTAGCTCTGTGTCTGTAATCCCCGCGGCACCGGCGTATTACTCGCCGGACTCGCCGAGCAATCGAACCGCAATGATCTCGGTATAGCCCCGGCATCTTCGACGTTGCTATATATCGAATCGTCGATCGCACTGACGCCGTTACTATTATCGCGGGGTTAAATACTTGAGCCGCCGGACTTAAAGAGAGATTTCCACGGTGGCCGATGAAACGGCGCCGTGACTGTCGTAAGATATCGACGCGCGGCAAGCATAAAAACTAAAACGGTTATCTGCTCGACCTCGCGAAAATCTGTAGATAAATCATCGATTAAAGGAGATCTCCTGGGACGGAATAACAATCATCACCCGTCACCGGAAAAATATCGAGGTTTGTTTTATGGATGGATTCGGAATGAACGTGTCGGGCGTGCCAAAGTACGACACATATTTCGGTATACGCGGCACTTCGTGTCAAAGATATAAATATTGTATTTCGCGGGAACGGAAATGTGGTTGTATTCATCGTGTGCGGAAAGCAAAAAATGCCAGAGGGACGCATCATGCTTTCAATTTTAAGGTCGAATTTCGTGGGTGTCGTACGTGGATGCGTGTCGAAGTGAACGTTGGAATAGACGAGATATTAGTTAATTAATTAGTGATCTTAACGTTGGCAAGAACATTCATCTGCAACTTTGTATTGATTTTAACGGGGTTGCTATGTATACTGGGAGATTCAAAGCTTACGATGAATAACGCCGCTGCGCAAAAGTTTATGAAGAATTGGGTAATGAATGCATTCGCGTTTTTATACTTTTTAATTTCGAAGAGAGTAGTTTCGAAACTGTAAGGCTTTAAAGGCTGGCTATTATTTCCGCAATGCAACTTTGCGCCGCCTCGGGCTAAAGTTGCGTGCGTTTGATAAGGAAATTTAAAGTTATCCGGACAATGTTGCGTTGCTCGGTGCAAACGATTTTATTACGCACACCAACATCGACCCCAGCACACGCTCCCACCCGATTAAGTGCTGTGTAAATTGGCCTTAAAAATCCATGTCACTTCGGTGTGTCGGTAGTTGTGCGCGATGATTTAATCGCTCTAAACGGCCATAGGATATCGATGGACCGACATGTACGACATGGCCGACAATTTCACCAAATACCGGAAATTTCCCGACTTTCCCGAGTGCTCGCTACGTCATACATTCGAGAGGCACGAATAAACATTGCGATTACGTAACCGTTCCGATACTTTCTGGATGATTTCACGGCAAGGTTCTCTCCGATGTGCGCGCGCGTGCGGCGCCGGATTTCTTCGTCTATTTAAATATTATCATTTCTTGACATAGTTTCCTTCTACAATCTCTCAACATATCAGAACATGCATAACGTTTCAAGCATATCGGAAACCGATACGTATGATTGTCGCAGTTAAATATTTCAGATGAGATTTAATATAATGATTTTTGATTATTCACGTATCGCACGTACATTTATATCTATTCTTAATTACTTTGAACACTATAATTGCAAAATTAAACGAATTCACCGAGTGAGGTTCGATTTATTTATAAAAGATATCTCTAATAATAGACTATCTAATTATTTAACCTTCCGTTAATCGCAATATCCAATAGCCATCCTGATACTTGTCAATTCTTCATCGTTTCTTATGTACTTTGGTGCCTGGTCTATTATTCAAGTGCTAATACAGGAAAAATTGTTTCAGGCAGAGAAAAATAATCGAAAACTTAGTATATTTGTAAATTATATATAGTGCAACCATTCATGAGTGAAAAATATTACAATTAACGCAACGTTAAAGAGGTATTGTAATCTAGAACTACAAAAAACCCGATTTTTTTAACGTTTCAAATGCTTCTCAAGATTGAATTTTTAGAAAGATTTATTGAAATACGAAAAAATAACGAAATTATAGACATCTATAGATTGTAGCGCACAGATTGAAAGCCGATGCGCTCGAAGGCAGCTACGCCCAACAAATACTCGAGCTACCCTAGTAATAGCTTTTCAGGCCTATCCCTTTGTTGCTTGACTTGTTGGTTGTATGTGTCGTGTGTATGTATCAGTTTAAAACGACGATGTTGGAGATTTTGCCAGGACAAATCTTATAAGCATTTAATATTGTCTCGAACGTTGCACAGCAAACATCGCAATAGATGGAAAAAGTGCAAAATAAAATATCAAACGCGTTGATAGATAAAAAAAGAAACAATTTCATGAAAATCGAAGTACAATCGAGTAAAATACATCATTTTCAAGCACGTCTGCTAAGAAAATAAAGACTTCGCAATCGCTGGAGCATGAAACGGCGAGCGTCTGAAGCATCAAAAGAAGCCCGTACTGCTCGTCGATTGGAAATTAGTGAATAAAACGGACAATTCGAAGTAAAGGAAGGTTTATTGTCTAGTACTGTCGATTAAAGGTAAACTTTCATTGTTTATATTATATCTGTACTCAAAGCTTTAAATGCGTTTTTTTTTTTATTTTTTTAGTCGATTGGCATTTCTCAAAAAATACTAAATCGATCAACTCCAATTTTTTTATGTATATAAAATACACGTCTATGTTTTATAGCCTGAATTAGGATCATTGCGATATCTTCACATTGATTTTTTTTATAGTTGTCAAAATAAAACTTTTGCTGGAAAAATTGATATCTACTTTTTAAAATCCCACCATTTTAACAATTTACAATATTTTTCATATATCCTAGTTCAGATCATAATCACACTCATAATTATTAAAGATCTTTTCGATTCTTTGGTTCCAATGAATAGAAGTGTTGTAATTGTGTCAATTAGCGACATGTGTTTTTCTTCAGTAGCATTTTCAACATTACAAAACAAGAATAATAATTAATATCTATAGCTATACCGAAATTATATTCTTCAAACGTAGATAAATATGTCTGCAGACTTCATAATCGTATTTGTAATAGTTTATTTTTATTTTTTTTTAATTCCCAAATATAGGTCTTTTTTCATGCCTTAGACTAGAATATACCTTTAATGTATTTCTTCGCCGCACGGTAGAATTTACCGATAGTATCTTCTATATCTTAAGGGCATTGAAAAATGATAGAAAAAAAACAGAAGCAATATATATGAA